GTTGAAAAAATTTTGTTTTGACTTCTAAACTTGAATTAAAAATCAAAAAAAAAATTAGAAAAAAAATTTATAAGAAACATTTTTCAAGCTTCTTTGAAACTGCAGTAAATTATTTTCCTAAAGCAATTGCTATGCTAATAAATAGATTAAATTTCAAGCAAATCTAGTTTTACTACCAGAACTGGAAAAAGACATATAAAATGTCAATGTCAAACTTTTGGGTACTTTTTATGGCATTTTTACCCATTTTTACTTGAAAGAATTTGATTTCGCGAGGAAAAAAAAACACTCAAAAACCCTCACAAATCTTAATACACGGTCGAGAAAATGCAAACAATGTAATTAGGCAATAAAAGACTATTAGGCCGCTAGAAACTGGAAGACTGAAATTGCTAACAGAGGCGAAGCGAAGCTTCGCACCTTTTATAATACAGCAAACACACAAAAAACATAAGTAAAAAAAATAGATAAAGTTGGAAAAAAACTAAGCGAAAAAAAACTAGGCGGACTTGCTATACTGATGCGGCACTTTGCCCAAAACCTTAGTTGTTTTTCTACTAAATTAAGTGAGAAGAGTAGAACATTTTAAGATGATCAATTTTCCCGAGGAGATAAAATTTATGGAGTCGCCGCTTCTGCAGAAACCATTATCGCAACCGGTTCTTTCAATTGAACTTTTCATCTCAGATTTGATTGAGTATATTTTCAGAAAACTTGAAAAGTTTCAAAAACGGCCAAAAGTTCTAAAAAAATCATCGAAAAGATTTCCAAAATCCATGAATTTTCCTGCAAAGAGCAAGTTGTGGCTGGAGAAGATTCCCAAAACCGGGTTTCTCGATTGGACTCGTAGTTTTCGCGTAAAATCATAAAACTTCCAAAATCTGTCAAGTTTCAAAACGTTGACTTGTTTGAAGGCCATAACTTTTTTTTAGATAAATGAGGCATAGCCAATTTTAAAGGTAGACTTTCAACATTCTGTTGGTTTGATTAAAACTATGATATTAGATGTGGCAGGATAGTTAGCGAGACAATACCAGAAAACGGTCAACAAATCAAAGATTTGACTATCCGATAATCATAGCGATTTGTGTAAATAAATAGGGCGTAGCCGCTTATGTCGAAAGTATTGACGCAACCCAAAATTTTGATTGAACTCAAAATTTTAGATTTGGAAGGGTAGTTCTCAAGAAAAGTCAAATTTAAAAAAAACGGTCAAAAATCAAAATTTTGACTTTTTTTGAGGGCCATAACATTTAGAGTCAAAAAGCGATTGCGCGTAGTGACATAACTAAATGAGCTTCCCACAATCCGTTTTTTGAACTGAACCAAAAATCTCAGACATCGCAGGGATTTTTCGAGAATATTCAAGTTTAAAAAAAAAGGTCAAAAAACAAAACATTCGACTGTTCCCAGTGCGATAAAAGTTTGTGTAAAAAGTTTGGTGAGTAGGCGCTAAGGCAGGAGAGCTTCCCACTATCCGTTACGTCTATTGCGTCCACCATATCAGATTTAGGAGGTTAGTTTTCGAAAAAAGTCAAAAAGATTAACTAAACTGTCAAAAATCAAAATTTTGACTATTTCGAAGGGCATTTACTTATGCGTAAAAAAAACTGGGCGTAGCCGCTTATGCAGGGGATTTTTTGCAAAACCGTTCTTTTCATTGAAACTAAAAAATCATATCTGAAAGTTTTCGAGTGAACGGAACAAATCAAAACTAAGGGTCAACTTTTCCCTCAGACTTTTTCGAAGGATGTAGACGTTAAGGTAAAATAAAAAGAAATTCTATGGTAGTATGCAGGCAAATAAGGAGTAGGCCGTCTTTGAATTAATACCTTTTTTTTTTTAAAAATCAGCAGAAGTTTCGGACAAACTCTAAAACTTTTGCAGAAAACGAAAAAAATTTCCTAAACGAAACAAACTGATTGGTTAATATATAACCGACTTGAATAGTGAGGATGGGAGTATTAAAAATGAATTCTTTTAAACAACCCCTAATTAAGTCATTAAGCCAACAAAAAACGGGCCGAAATAACTTGGTCCGAGAATTTTTTTTCAGCGAAACAACATAAAATGAAGAAGGAAGCACGAAGTCAAGGTAAGTAAAAGAGTACATCAACTACTAAAATCAAAAATACAAGTAGCAAAAAATGATTCCAAGATGTGCAAACTGAGCCAACAACAGATAAGCAGTAAAATAATTTGCCGACAATTTTATTTGAAACAGAATATTGCCCATTTGAAAAAAAAACAAGTCCAGGTCAGATTCGAAACCGAACCCAGGACTTTTGCTGTCCCAGGCATATTCGTATTCTCCAGGCTAAGTTGGCCAGGAACGCTACAATTTTTGAATAGATTTTGAAACATGGTACCATTAGAGATGATTCCAGACGAGTCCTGTGAAGTTATTTACGGGAAAGAAGTTTAGTACCAATAGCAATACCCTTACCTACAAACTAAAATAACATAATGACACTATTCGTGATTAACCTGCATTCATCATAGAAAATTCGGATCGTCATATATTAGGAAAAAAGTACAAATTTTATAAAAACAATTTGCTTTCAAAAGGGGACAAGATAAGAAATTTATTTTTCGATTTGCTTTTTTTTTCATAGCATTTATTCTTTATCCGAAGTAATTACAGTAATAGCGATTCGATTGATCTGCTCTTCTGCTTTGGCTACTTAGTGGAAGTTGCAAACAGTTTTTTTCCTTAACTCAACAGAAATTTTTTTACTGCCAGTCAAATGGCAACTGACGAAGCTTCAATTTGATACATCACTAGGACTCATGACATTCATTTGTATTACCTGACTTTGCTGGACAAAAATCGGCTAAAAGTGCATTCCTACAGCTCCAACAAAGCAGCACTTTCAAACTAAGGAGCACTTTGGTATTTGGATAACCCAGGGAAACGTTCACGGGTTGTAACAATTTTTGTATGCAGGTGATGAGCATGATAAAATACAGCTCCAGATTGCCCTAATAGTGTTAATAACAATCAACGATGTTTTAAGCTTAAGCCAGGCTGAGCTTAGAACCATTTGGAAAAGCTGTGCTTAACACCATTTCCGATACAAAAATGAAAGAGTATGATTAAAAGCAAACTAACAACTGAAAAAAAAACTTGGAAAAAGTAATTTTTGTCAAAAAGTTCAAAAGAAAAGCTGAGAGACAAAAGCTACCGGGAAAAAATGTATCTAGAAGCTCTAAACAGAGCTTTCGAAAGGCTAAAAAGAAATCGAACTTTTCTGAGGGATCGCACACGGCAAAAATAACAGACACGAATGTCTGAAATAGTCGAAAACTTTCAATTAGCACAAAAAACAGGTCCCGACTAGAATCGAACTTCCGAGATTTGTCGTCTCGAGCATAGTTGTTATTACTACAACAAATGCACAGAATAATCCTTGAATTTAATACGAAAAAAAACTTTTTAATGAAAAAAAAATCAAAAAATAAGGGAAAAAATCTGACTATGAAACAAGGTACCGCTAGAGAAGATGAGTCCAGACGTCCATATGAGTCCTGTGAACAAACTTATTTACGGGAAAAACGTCAGTAAATTATGTCTTTTTGGAGTTTCCTCAAAACTGAATAGAAAACTAAAAATTGAAAAAACAATCAACTTTTTAAAAAAAAGAAACTTCAAATTTTTTTTTTACTAGTTTTCACTGCTTAAATTGAATTATGAGCCAATTATTAGCCAGTGCACTTGCTCGCTTCATTCGTTAGAAATTAGACTTCAAACCAGTTTTTCTCGATGTCAAACCGGTTTTTCTTGATGTTGAGGAACTTTTCGGAAATTTTTTAGATCTCAAAAGGCTTTAACATGATATATCAGCCGACCCATTCCAATAAGAAACTGCGGTGCCTGATTGTACCTGGAAAAACTCTAAAATACACCCGCAAGACAAACTTCCTCCCTGCTTTCAGAGGTTGGAACTGGAAAATTTCTACTATAAAAAGACGATTCGATGCGCTGATAGTTTTAGTTACATTTTCAAGGTAGATTACTCGCAAGCTAAATTAGAAAAAGCTCAGGAAAATATAAATATATATTAAGTAACATACTTCACATATATGCAGAGCAATAAGAAGTATAATGACCTATAAAGAGCTTATTTAAAGCCTGTTTAATCTTCATCATTACATCGCCGGTTTGACTGGCACGATTCTGATCAAAAACAAAAAACTCATCCAAAATAGGAAAATCAAATTGCAGTACAAGTAGCGTCAAAAATTACGACCTCAGTTATCCTCGCTTCAGAAAATCAGAAACGTTTTTTTTTCCTAATTTTGCTGCCATTTTTTGAGAGGGGACTCAGGTTTCAAGCAATAACTAATCAAATTTTATCAATGTAACTGTTAACTCATATTTTAGTCACTGTAATGACGAAAAAGCCCATCTCTTCGAGAGCTTTTGTGAGGAGCTCTACAAAGATATTCAGACCAGTTATTCTCGACAGGTTTCCCTGTCAAAAAATATTTTTGAAATAGAATTCGCAGTTCAGGAACGTTTTTCATAATAAACATTGAAGGCCTACGATTGGCTTTTTAGAGGTAGTTGAAACTGCGCCAAAACATTCACCAAACGTTTTAAATTTTTACCACACTTTTTAGTGGTCAAAAACAAAAAATAATCAAGATCATTTTACTGGCACTCATTTTTCACTCCAGCTAAGTAAACTATGCCAAAACACATATGACACAATTTTTATTTGAAATTAAAATCAAATTTAGCTTTTATTACAAAACTTAAAAATAAATTAAATTTGTATCTACTTAACAACACCCCTTCAAAGCTGCTGAATAAAAATGTATTTGAAGAACATACGGCTCATTATCTCAACCATATTTTCAAAAGCCTCATCTTTCGCTAATTGTGTCAATCAAAAACCCCTTTTAAGCTTTTAAAAAGACAGCAATCAAAGGAATCCATCTATTTTTATATGAGTGAAAATGTATTTTGAATCACTCAATCCATAAAATAACGGCAGAGCATTTTTAAACTAGAAAGATGAAAAAACGCCAAAATTTGTGGGAGTAGGTGTGTTGTTATATAGATTCAATATAAAAAAACACTAAGTGTCAACTTTCATCGGTACCAACTGAAATAACTTCGACTTTGAACAAACTTCGGTTGTTTTAGCACCGTGAGACTCTGAATCCAGTTGGTCTTTCGGATTGTAAAGCATTTCAGTTTCTATCTCCAGGATTGAATTGACGTAACTCTCCGAAGAAAGTTCTCGGAGAATACTGTTAATGTTGCCGCTTTTCGTAAGCTCCGGTGGTAATATCAGGTCTTTCAAATAACACAAAGAATCATTCGAAACTTCAGTTTTAATGATAATCTGATAATTTACGAAGTCGTAAAACACTTTCATTGAAGTTTTGTTCAATTTCGGGTGAATTAAATTTAATGGCTTGGCAGAATGTGCGTCCAATATTGGCTGGTAATCCCCTAAAAACTCGTAACTATTAGAAGGGTCGTGATAAGTGTCTTGATGATCAGGATAGATTTGGTTACTACTGTAAACAGAATTCGTACTTGCACTTACACCTTGCCAAAACCATAACCTCTCGACTACAAGGTAAATTGTGAGAAAACAAGCGAATAAACCCAAGAATGCGGACACAGCGATTATAGAAATAAGGCGCACTTTTTGGGCCAAAGTATGATCTGTTGAACTGGATTCTAAGTCTCCGATGACTAATGGTTTCTGATAATTGACACTAGAACTGGGGTTGGTACTGTTTGATGAAAGCATGTTTTGAATTGAGCTCTGAGTTGTCAGAGATGGTGACTTCAATAATGAGTGGGGGCTAATGCTCGTTCGAACAAAAGTGTCATAATTTGAGGTTCTGCTGCAGTAAGTTGGAAACTGAGTTTCTCCAAACTCGTGCGAATCAGAGTAACTCAAGTCACATTTGGACTTACTAATTGGCGCCATCAAGGAGAAGCTGTTATTGTTGCAGTTATTGCAGCTTTTGATCAAGGACTTGTTTGAAAGGTTTTCTTTCAAAGTGTAGAGACATGAACAGTTTCTTGCCATTTGAGGGGTCAGCGGAGGGTTCAAATTAGCGGATAATGACAATCCGTAAGGAGCTATCATCTTGCTAGCTAAGCTATTCACACTCCTTTGATTTTTTTCAATTGGGATCTGTTTAGAGCCCAATTTTGTAACGCTACCTGTGTAATGATTAGGTAAAGTAGTAGTACCTATTAAGGTTTTACTAGTCATTGAAACGTTCGTTGTAGCCGAGAATAGACCCCTAGTGGTAGCGTTACAAGATCTATGTAAACTGTTCGCGTTGTTTAATGTAACATAAGTATCAATTAATCCGTTACACGATTTCTGCAGAAAGGGCGCAGGAACTGAGCTGGCATTTTTTCCCGCTAAATTTGCCTTCTTTTCTGTTTCTAAGCCGCCAATAATTTCCTCATTTCTGTGTCTAATGGAGTTGATTAAGTCCATTGTTGTCAAATGGCAAAACGTGTAAATCAAATTATACCAAGAAATTATTCAAGAGATATTCTGCGAACAAGTTTTCTAAATTTAATTGCGGACAACCGTCAGAAGATGAACAGGGTATAAACAAGGTCCATACAAACCTTTTTACAATTAGGGTCAAAGTTAGGACCTTCTAATGACAAAAGAAAACATCTTGAGAGGACGTAAATATGGCAAGGAGTTGGTAGAAACGAAAAAAGTCCCAACATTCACGGAGAAAAGTAATGAACAACACAGAGAATAAAAACAATATATCGATCAATTTGGGATGATAAGGTGAGAATAAAGTGAAAACTTGTGCTTCTGGGAAGTTAAAAGCAACCCAATTGGGAGAAAACAAAGAGAAGTAGAGCTCGAGGATAAGATTTTTAACTAAAGACGCTTGACTCGTTTCTGGACTAACACCACATCGCAATTGCGAAAAGCGCAAATTGATTTCTGATACTTAAAACAAAAAGTAATCCTTCTTGTTAGAGTAATGCTCTCAACTTTAAGCCAAAGATGTCTTCGGGGTGAAAAATAGCCGAAGGATATAATTAACAGATTGATTGGATCTCACCTTGTTTCCTTATTGTCCCTTTTCCCGATTTGAAAGAAACTGAAACTAAGAAATTCAATTCAAGGCGTTTTTTCTCAACAAAGTATAGTTTTTGTGAAGGCGCGTAAGACATCAAAGGAATTCGATCAAACAGGCGTTGATCAGATATTGTCTCGCAATTGACTCAATTTCAATTGATAGTTTGTTGTTTCTACTCGCAATTCAAAAAATGTGATTGTTTATTTGTCTCCGAATTAAGAGCAGGCTTTGGGGGAAACCAAAGGAGAGGCAAGAAGTAAAGCCACTGGCGCTGCAAGTGAACAAAGCGGTGGCTGGCGGATGCTCAGACGAAATAAACTGACGCTTGAAAGCCGAAAAGGGTTTTAAATATTAATCAGGCAAACAGCCAGTGTCGTTTGAAAGGTCATTTTCATCAAGGCAGGTGCGAGATTTATGCTGGGGATGAGACCGTGCAACAGAAAAGATAAGATTGACAAAGTTCTTTTCAGACTCGAGAAAGTTTCATCACAAATAAAGGGGACAGGATTTAATTTAATGCAACACGCCAGTAAATTGAGAAGGTGCCACTTTGAAAGTAATTCCAAAACTACTGTCACATCTAATTGGAAAAAATCAAATATATCCCAATCGAAAGTAAAAACTAATATCAAATCAATATACCATTTATTAAGAATCTTGCACTTAATTTATGCACAATTCTAGTGATAAATAGCAGAATTGTTTATTGTTTTTCGCTTTTCTTTGTTCGCCCGCTGACCATCCCAATGAATGGAGATCAAAGCGGAAAAAGGCGTGAAAAATTGATGAAGATTGTCTTAGAAGTGTTTGGCTGAACAAAGATGTGGCAAACGAACCAGACAATAGAGACTCCAGCCATCCATAACGCCAATTCACCCGGTCACGTCCAAAATTGGGATTTATGGAAAAGGCGCCCTGAAATTACACAAGTAGTGAACAGAATGAAGGAAGGCGTTAAATTATTGAACCACAGCAACCATACCATGATTGATTATTGTTGTCTCTATCATCGGACCTTAACAAAATGGACGACAAAAAACCTAGCTACCTGTTTATTTTGTTTTCTACCTATTATCAGCATGATGTTAAATTAGTAAATTTGCAAAAGCTAACTCAGTTCTCCCTTTCCAATTCCCAAAAGATTTGAAGCAAACTTACAAGGCCTGTTTGATTGAATCCTTTTTTATAACAAGACATATTTGACTTAAAGGCGTATTTTAGTCGCCTTAGTTCCACCATGATTGTAACAGGTAGCAAAGATTGAGTTCTACCATTTTGCCAGGCAGCTAATTTGTGATTCGATGGAGGTTCTTAGCGCCAACATGAATCTGCGACAGTAATCCGAGAATAAAAGACACTTGCAGAATATTTGAATACGCATTCCTTCAGATTAACGCAAAAGATTTGAAAAAGGTTTGAAAATTTAACTTTTTTGTTCGATCAAACGTCATAAGTATTCAGATGAGGATACTTATGTTGACTTTCCATTTGACAGGCACAGGTCAAATAGATAATTTGTGGCGTGTTTAGAATATAAAAAAGGTGAAAAACAATGGATAAATAGATGGTATCTTACGGTTAATCGATAGTCTTCTGTAGAAATTTGGTGTCACGGATGAGACAGTGAAAATCATTCCTAAATCAGTTTAGCCGACAGAATTTCAATTAATCCCAAGTAACGGCCTTGTGATACTGATAAGATAAATAGGTCACTAAATCAAAGGCTGAACAACTAGGGCTGATCACGTGGAAATATGAAGAGGTAGTTTGATCACACGCAATTGAAGGGGGCTAACCGGTTTAAAAATGATCAACAGCTGGTCAAAAAGCAACATGACATTTGGTATTGTTTGTAGTTACATAAACTGTCAAGATCCATAGACCTTGCTCGAAGCCGAGTAATAAACAAAAACCATATTGTATGCACATTAAGTACTTCAGTCAGCCACATTTTCTAGTTGAATAAATGTAACCATTGGGAGATATTTCAAAGCAATTTTTGAGGCCATTTATTTTTCAAAAAAGATTTCAAAAATGTTTGACCATTCGATTGAAAAGAAAACAAATGCAAGACAAAAATTAACTGTCTTTCAACAAATCAAGCGTAAAACATTAGCAATAAAATCCATATTTTCTGCCTCAGAATAAAAAAACTGCAATCAAAAGATTCCACATGCTGATCAAAAAATCAGATAGGTTTCAGTCGAAATATCCCTTGTTGCTCGGATTGGTTAGCTAAAAGAAAAATGTTATCATTTTAAAAAAAGGAATATGATAACAAGATCGAGACAAGACACAAAGGGAATTTTAAAGCGGCACCAAAATGTTCTTTCAAGCCAATTGCCAATTGTTTTTACAGGATCGAATATCTACCGCCAAAAAAACATTGAGTTCATAATTTGATTTAAAAAGGCGTGACACATTTACCTCATATGACGCAGAATTTATTGAGTATGGTTTAATTTGACCTTGATTTATTCAGAATACTCCATTAACTTGCTACATTACCAACTGACGGCGCTAGAACAATTGATATTGGCATTAATTCAAATGGGGCGTGGTTTTTCCCGTATAAGTTGTAGCTATAAACATTAAATCCAATTAAACTGCTTGAATTACACTTCTGTAAAATTTTATGATTTTAAACACGCCCAACTAATCTAGGATTAGACAGAGGTGTGATCCGACAAAAACACTGCATTAAGAGCTCCGACAAGTTTAAATCATAAATATAAATTCGAAACTACAGGGACGCTTGAACTGCATGGTCTGGCAAAAACTTATGGCTTATGGCAATTTAAGTAGAAGAAATTCTGCATGAAAAAAATCATTTTGTGAGGAAAAATTGCCGCTATTAAGATGGAAAAATAGAAAGATGACCGTAGTCGGATCTGTCTTGATCTTGTTTATCTGCCCTTATTCTTTCAATTTCGAAAATATGAAATAAATAGGGATATACCTCAAAAAAGTATAAAAACACTTCTTTTAGACTTCTTCAACAAAATTTCACGTCGCTTTGTTTAAATATAAGTAACAAAATTTCATAACTCGAACCATGTCTCAAGCTCATCAGTAAAACCACAAAAGCATGAAGATAAAAAAATAATATTAAATTTTGATAAGCGAAGAGCTTCAGAACGTGCAAACTAATGCGTACTATTTAGACGGCAAAACGATCGAAACCGGAGAAAAGACCGGTATTTCAAAATTTTATCGATTTCAATTACAAACACTCCCTCTGATTTAGGAATTGTGTATTCTGCCGTTTTTACACTTTTAACTTATTACCACCATAAAACACACTCAGTGCTTTCGCCCTATGTTAACATGTTAATTTACGCACGATCAACTTGAGACAGCACTATCTCATTGAAAAAAAAAAACATTTTTTTTGTCCCCGGTTCTACTCGATGCATGACCAACCGTGGGGAAATGGGATGTCATTGGCTCTTTTTCCTCGCTCTCCTCTCCCCACCCCACATCACATGAGCATCAATTTTATGGCGCGACAAATGGATTTACAAGGTTAATCATGTTTGTCATGGCTTAATTAATCCGCATGTCATATTCTGCACAGAGGCGAAGCAGAGCTTCGCATCACTCGCGATATAACAGAAGCTTAACAAAAACATTAGTCGAAAAAACATCGAAATGGTTGAAAAAACTAGGTAAACAAAAATTTTCGTAAGTCTAGATGAAAAGCAACTAGGGGACCAGCTAAAGCTGGAGGTATGTGTTTGATACTGAATGAATTTGCTATACTAATGCGGCACGAAAAATGTGATTTCAAAAATTGGACTTTGCCTAAAACCTTAGTTGTTTCCCAAGTAAATAAGGCGAGAAGAGTAAAACAATTTGAGATCATCAATTTTCCCGAGGAAATAAAATTTTTCTTAAAAAAGGAGCCGCCGCTTCTGCAGGAACCATTGGCGCAACCGGTTCTTTCAGTTGAACTTTTCATCTCAGATTTGATTGTGTAAATTTTAAGTAAGTTTCTATAAAACGGTCAAAAGTTCTAAAAAATAGTCAAAAAGAATTCCAAAATCCAATACTTTATTGCTAAGAGCCAGTTGTGGCAGCTTAAGCAAAGATTCCTAAAACTAGGTTTGTCGATTGAACACAACCTGAAAATTGGCACGCTAGCTTTCGCTTTAGGTCAAAAAGTTTGCAAAACACTGTCAAACTTTCAAAACTTCGACTGGTTTGACGTCCATAACTTTTTTGTTAAAAAACTGGTCATAGAGAGCTATAAAGGTAGGCTTTCATTAACCTGTTGTTTCGATTTAACCTATGGTATCAGATTTGGCAGGATAGTTGACAAAAAAATCCCAAAAAACCGCCAATTAAAAAAAAATTGACATTTCCCAAAATCATAGCTTTTTGTGTGAATGAAAAAATAGGGCGTAGCCGCTTATGCAGAAGGCATTCACTCAAGCTGCAAAATCTCACATTTTGGAGGGTAGTTCGAGAAATGTGAAAACAAACCGCCAAACAATAAAAACATTTTCGAAAGCCATAACTTTCGGTGCCAGCAAATGAGCTTCCCACAACCCGTTCTGTGAATTCAACTCAAAATCTCAAATATGGCGGGGTAGTTTTCGAGAATACTCAATTTTTTTTAAAAAACGGCCAAAAATCAACAATTAGACTATTCCGATAGCCGTAACTTTACGTGTAAACAAAATTTGGGCGAAGACGTTCATGCAGGGAGCTTTTCGAAACTGTTTTATTTATTGAAACTAAAATTTCAGATTTGAGAGGGGCTTTTTCAAGAAAATGAAAAGAAATCAAAAATAAGGGTCAAATATTCCCTCACATACTTTTTCGAAAGCTATAGACAAAGGGGTCAAAAAAAGAGACTCTAGGGAAGTATACAAGCACAAAAAGAGTAGAAAGTTTTTCAATTGATAGCCCTTTTTGAAAATCAGTATAAGCTTCTGAGAAAAATTTAATTTTTTTCCAATAAACTAGCGTAAAACGCACCTCCGGTACTCATGATAAACCGCATATATTGAAAATAAGATCTGCATTCTTTGAGTGTGCTTTGACCGCACCCAATTACAGGGTTCTTAGTGACAAATTTTGCAAAAATTTTTATTCAAGTTTTCTATACATATTTTGAAGAACCATAAAATTTTGTGAAGTTTTATGTTCTTCGAAAAATTTAAAATGAACTAATAAAGTCACATCTGGGAAACTAAAAGCAATTGAGCAGTCGCATTTGGACGCAAGATTCACATCTTCTGAGAGTTCTCTTACAGTACCCAACCACAAGATCGGAAATTCATATTTTGAGAAACTTCACCTTAAGTTTTCTAAACAGAGGTATTTTTGCTTGAAAACCAGAAAAGATTTCATATCTCGAAAACAACCAAGATTTGAGCAGTCTTATTAGATGGTAAAATTCACAATCTTTGAAAGTACTCTGACAGCACACAACTACAGGGTTGGGAATTTCACTTTAGTTTTTTATGATTTTAGTTCCCAACTACATAGTTCCCAACTGCAGGGTTGGGAACTATTTTGAAATTTGAGTTTTCTGAAAAATTCCAAAAAAAATCACAAAAATCGCCGTATCTCTAAAATAAAAAAGGTATGAGCATTCTTAATTGGAGCCCGAATTTGCAACTCCTGAGATTACTCGGACAGCACCCAACTACAGGTTAGGAATTTTAAAAAAATCACAAAAAACGTCATATCTGGAAAACTGCACGGTTTTGAGCAGTCATATTTGGAGACAAAATTCACAACTCCTGAGAGTACCCTGGCAGAGCCTCACTACACATATGGTAATTTCAAGTTTTATAAAAAGTTAAATACCCAAGTTCTCTGAAAAACTTTAAGAAAATCCTAAAAAACGTCTATCTCAAAAACTCCAAGATTTTGAGCAGACATATTCAGAGGCCAGATTTGCAACCTTCTGAGAGTACCCAATAACAGGATTGAGATCTACAAGGATTTGGTTATTCATATATGGAGGCCAGAATCGCAAAACTTGGGAAAAGTCTGGCAACATCCAATTATTGGGTTGCTAATACAAACTTGATGAAGTAAACACTGAATTTAAACGGAAAAATAAAACCTTAACCATTGCAATAAACGATATAGCTTAAACGTGAAAAAAATCTTTTGTTTAAGATGCAAAAAATTCGTTGAAAAAGCTTAAACATGGCGAGATAGTGAAGCCCGCATTTAAATATATAATAGATAACATATTTGATAGAAGAAAGTTAAAAAATTAGGAGACGGGTAGACAGACAATCAAATTAATTTAAAAAGCAGGTATACAGACAGACTTAATTTGGCCTCAAAAAAATTACTGAAAAGTTACTGACCTTGCGGAAAACTAATTGAAAAACTTTCTTAAGCATTGCAATATATGATATAGCTTAAACATGAAAAAAAATTTTCGTTAACCATGCAAAATTATTATGCTTAAACATGGGAGATAGCTGTCACTAGCATTTAAATATAGTATAGATTTGGAAATAATTTTCCATTGAAAAAAAATTTCAACAAACCGATTGGCAAACATACAACCAACATGAAAAATGAGGAGGGGAGTGTTCAAGCTGTTTTTTCCTTGAAACGACCCAAAATTAGGTCATTAAGACAGTAAGAAATAGGCCGAAATAATTTAGGACGATAATTTTTTTTAACGAAACAAAAACGCAAAGGAAATACCAAGTCAAGGTAGGTACAATTACAAAAAGTAAGAGCAAATCAAACACTTAAAACAAAAAAAAAGAAAAATGCCCGCAGCAAAAGCTTAAGCCAAAGCAATAAAGAAAAAAAGCTCACAGCAAAAAAAACTGCCGACAACAGATTAGCAGACAAATAACTGACCGACAGTTTTATTTGAAACAAAATATTTTCCGTTTGAAAAAAATAACAGGTCCTGGTCAAAATCGAACCACGGACCTTTGTCGTCCTAAGCATATTCGTTACCTCCAGGCCAAACTGGCCGTGAATGCAAAGAAGTTTGAAATCAATATGAAAGAAGACAGAAGTGATTCCGTTAAACAAGTTGTTAACCAGAAAAAAGTCTATATTCCAGTTTGATAACGCTTGCTAATCGCAAGCATAATAACAATCGGTTCATGCGAACAATAAATTAACTTCAAAAAAATCGCAGGTAAGAGGGACAAGAAAAAGAGCCTGTCATCCATTTAGACATAGCGAATCCTACCTTGAGAAGGCGGATGGCACTGGGACTTCTCCAATCGTGACCGAAGTGGGATTCGAACACACGACCCTCGTGCTGACATATCACAGACATAGCAAAATCAGGTCACAAAAAAGTTGACAAAACCGATTAAAAATGAGTCAAAAAGCACACATACACACGCACTCACACACTTACGCACACAACATATACTAACAGAAAAATAAAATTAATGTAAACTTATTGATTTTTCTGACTGACACTAAAAAAAGCCAAAAAACAGTTGGAAAAGAGTCGATGAGCTCAAGGAAGCAAACGAAAACGTTATGCTTTTTTTCATCTTTCGAAATTGAAATAAAAAACCCAGGCAGCAGGCAGATGAACAAATGTCACTGAACTGAAACAAAAAAAATGGCTATACTTCCGAACATTTTAAAATTTAAATCCACTTTCGAAACTAGAAGTCGTTTTTTGACCTTCACGCTTTTGCTGTTCGATTTGGATGTTGTCTTCTATCTAACAAAAGAAATGAATTTAAAAAAAATCAAAAACCAAACCGCAAAAAATCAAATTGGAGCGTGAACAAACTTTAAATAGAAAAATAGAGCGGAAAGAAATCATCACGACCTATATAAGAGGCTGAACTGCGTTCGTCGAATCTAAAAACACTGACTTATTTTCGAAAAATCTTAAGTTTCGAATTTTGAAGTAGAAAATATAGGCTTTCAAATATTTTCTAATTTCAAGAACAGCTTATGAATGACTTTTATTTGATAATATCAACTAAATTTGAGAAAACTGGATTAATAGGTGGTTTTTCTTCCTCTGAGATATCTAAAAAATAATTCCCACGTTCGAAACTAGAATCAATCACATTTTTCGTGAACTTTACACTTTTGCTGTTCGATAGTTCAGTTTGTCTTCCTTTTAACGAAGGAAATCAATTAAACTTCAGAAAAATCAAAGTCAAATAGCAAAAACTTGAATTTGAGAGTGAAAAAACTTCAACTTTTCCTGAGAAAAAAAAAACGAAAAAAAGCCTTCATGGCCTATATAAGAATCTGAACTTCGTCCATCGAATAAAAAAAAACGCTGACTAGCTTTTTAAAAATTTGTGGTGGATTTAGGGGACGGGCAGATGCTTAGAGATTTGACCCCCTAACGACCCAAAGGGTCCCCCTCTGTAACTTTTTAAGATACACATTTTTGGCTGACGGACCCCAAAAGTGTCCGAATATATACTAATTTTGAGTGGGAGCGCGCGCCAAAACACTATTTTTTGGTCAGAATTTTTCAAATCTTCAAACAGGGTATTTTAGTGCTTTATGAGAGCTCGGAAAATCAATTATGTCGACCCAAAAAAAAGAAAGATCGACAAAATTTTCGAATTCTATATGAAAATCCACTATTTGAAAATCCGCCCCCTCCCTCGAAAAAATTCTAGATCCGCCCTGATTGACACTTTTTCGATAAAATTATTTCATATCGTTCTCCTGATTTTGTCCAAAATGATGCCAAGTAAAACAATTGAATGTTAAATTAGCATCAAAGCAAAATCAACGAAATGGTAACGAAGCCGACAACTCAATTCAATCAAATCTATTTGAGAAAATTGGATCAATGGGCTAACTTTTTTATTTCGATGAAAAATCTTTAAATAAAAATCAGCTTTCAAAATTAGCAGTCGATCACGTTTTTCGTGAAATTTACGCTTTCGCTGTTCAAAAGAGGAGTTTGCCTTCTTTTAATAGAAACTTAAGAAATCAAAACTCAAACTTGATTGTAACAAACTTTGAAGACTTTTCCGGAAAAAAATCATCACCACCTATGAGAGACTCTTCACTGCGTTCATGGAATCTTAAAAAGAACCTTGTAATTGGGTAAATTTGCATTTTTCCCTAAAATTACGCAATTTTTGTCAATAGCAAAAAGCTAACTTCAGTTTTAACCTCAAATTCCAACTTCAAATAACTTCTTTCTAGATTTCATTGATGAATGGTTAAAAAAATATGTTTTTTTACCACTGCCTGAATTGATACACAACAGAGTTGTAAATACATGCATATACTCGCTTAACTAGTTCTGGAGACAAGATTATATTATAAACATTTATTCTCAGAACAATCAATGCAAAGTCAAGCTTCGTACTATCCATCAAAAATACCTCAAGTTTATCACAAAGTTCCAAATTAGTCGATATATAATCATAGATGACTATCTTATTCAGGGAAAACAGTAGCAGCCAAAATTTCGAGTGAATTCATTTCACTCGTCGTCAGGTAGCAACTTAGTCACAATTCCAGTTCCAAGTGTGAATTCTCCTGTTCTGATTGTAAACCTCTGCCCGACATCAAAGGGCATAGCTCTGGTCAATTTGAACACCAATTTTGCATCTTCGCCAGGCATTATCAGTTTTCTATGCTTCTTTCCCATATCATTTCCCTTTTTGTCAACCACATTCTGCTCAATTGTCTTGGCCGTCTCGTTTCCACTCAAGTCAGCATAGGCAGGGAAGTTCCAAGTCAAAGAGTAAATCATGTTTACTGCTTCGTCCAGCAGGGGTCTATTCTGACCGCCCTCATCTTTAGTCAGAAGGTAGATCTGCACCTCGACTCTCTTGTGTTGAGTGAACATTCCTGGTTTCGTGAGCACCATTCCACGCCTCAGATCTTCACGCTTCACGCCCTTAACCAGTACTCCAGCATTATCACCAGCTTGAGCCTCATCCAGAGTTTTCTTGAATGTTTCCATACCTAAAATATTTATCCAGTACGGCTTCATTCCTAAGACTCCCTTCTATTTTATAACTAAATCATTAATTTTTAAAGTTGAATGAGTGATAACTAGTACTACACCCAAAAATCTTTCAATATATCATATGGGCACAGTATGATTGCAAGGAGAAAATCCATTTGATATTATTCCATTATTTTCATCTCATAGCAGGGGCGGATCTAGGATTTTCTCGAGGGGGCGGATTTTCAAACATTTTTCGAAATTTTGTCGACCATTTTTTTCAGCCAAAAAAGGATATCTCAAAATAGATCGAAGGGGGACCCTTTGGGTCGGCAGGGGGTCAAATCCCTGAGAGGGGGTGTCGTCGTCGCCCCCCCCCCCCCCCCCCCCCAAATCCGCCTCTGTCTCATAGAACTATTAATTGCAAAGCAAAAGTAGAGTGGAGGAACGAAGTTTACCCGAGACGCTGACTTTGAACTGTTTGTCGAATCCGATAATCTGACACTGATCTCCCTTCTTGAGGGTGCCACGTTTGACCATGCCTGCGATGACCGTTCCCCTTCCTGTGATTGAGTAGACGGACTCTATAGGTAACAGAGTCGGCTTGTCTAGATCCCTCACTGGTGACTCAATGTATTGATCTAGCTCCAACAACAACTGCTCTATCGACTCCTTTCCCAGCTTGGGATCTTTGTCCTGTAAGCAAAACGGACATGGCTTTTCGGAAAACAGCTACAAAAATAGCAAAAAGTTATGCCGAAGATGCTGTTAAACTCAAGCAGCATAAAAACTTGTAACAAACAAAAAAACTATACTTTATAGCGAAACTAAAAACTTCAAGCTAACTCAGATTTGGGTCACAAAGAAAAAGAATCATTCTCAAACTTTGGTCAAAACACAGCGAACTTTCAAGAAAAAAAATAGATTCGCTTATAGATCTTTCAATTTCAGAAAATATTCTATAATTGGCACTTTTTTAATAAAATTAACCCAATTTGAGAAAACGTATCGATAAGTAAAATTTGTGTTTCGCAGAGAAATCTAATAATTAATTTCGATTTTCGAAGTCGATCGCGTTTTTCGTGATTTTTACACTTTTGCTGTTCGATAATGGAGTTTGCCTTCTTTTAACAAAGAAAATAAACAGAACTAAAAAAGAAATCATAAGTCAAACCGCGAAAAAAAATTGAGTCTAATCGAATTTCAAGACTTTTCCTCAAAAAAATCATCGCGACCTATATTAGAGTCTGGATAATTCTCAATAAAGGCTATCAATTCAGATTCGTGCAACATGATAGCATACTACTCATTTGTGTTTACATTAAGCGCGTGCAGAGCGGACCCCTTGACGATAGGCGTGTTCTCTCCGTCATAGCCGAACTCTGTCAGCACCTCTCGCAACTCCATCTCCACCAGTTCCAGCATCTCAGCATCGTCCACTGCGTCACACTTGTTGATGTAGACTACCAGGCGGTTGATTCCAGTCTGCTTGGCCAGCAGAAGGTGCTCCCTTGTCTGGGGCATGGTACCGTCTGTTGCAGCCACTACAAGAATTGCACCTTCCATCTGAGACGCCCCTGTGATCATGTTCTACAACAAACAACAATGGATTCAAAAAAATAAAAATGATACTATTTAAAAAAATGACACTTGCGTCTATACAAACGTTGATTTTAGCCAAGGGTATTAAGGATGAACAACGCGAATATAAGAAAAATGTTTGATTTCAAACATATTAAGAAGAAAACACCTGACTGCGTGTAACATAAACCAAAATAAAAAATCTGAAATTTGCCTTGATGTAGTCCAGATGGCCTGGACAGTCTGTGTGGCCATAATGTCTCTTATCTGTCTCGTATTCCACATGGGCAGTGTTGATAGTGATGCCTCTCTTTCTCTCCTCGGGTGCCTTGTCTATCTCGTCGTATTTCTTCGCCTCTGCCTGCCCCTTGTCCGCCAGATCTGCAACAAAAAAGTTAGTAAAAATTTATACCCAAGCTTTCAAATTCTGCTACTTTACGGTGCACTTTATACAAGATATCAGTAAATTGCAGATTTTCAGTACTTACTTTCGACATGGTAATTATTTTGATTATTTTCAACAAGCAAATCAAACAAGTTTTCTCATTTCATTTCTGACCATTTTAGACCTAATAAATAAAAAAGGTATTGATCAAATGAACTTTTCAAATAAGTTGACCAAATGAACTTTTTAAATTAGTTGAAATTGGCCAGTTTATGCTCATGTTAGGCTTTACTTAAACTGCAATTTGCGATAATGTTTATATTATCCGCAGACAGGAACCACAGTCTTCTCCCTTCTAGTAATAAATGTTTGCTATATAATAAAACCAAATTTTATTTCAAATCAACTTTCTTAGAATGATTTAAGTTACAAGCCATGAAGAGTTTTATAAATCTTGCTTGTTCCGTGGTGTTGTTGTTGCTCTAATAGCCTCAAATACTCGTTTGACGAACCTAGTTAAGTTGATTTTACCAATTGGTCTTGTTTCTTATTGTTGGCATACGAGGGAGGAGGCAGGTAAAGCAACACATGTGATGCACTTTATTGCCATTTTGACACAAGACTTTGTTTGATTGTTCTCGCGCGGTTTATACTGTTTTGAGTTCTAATTGTGCTTCCTTACGCATTAAAATCTTAAGCATCTTGTCAGAAAAAAAATGATCCACGGACCTTGCCTTCAAATAATGAAACTTATTTGAACTTCAAAGACAACTTTCAAAATAAAAAAACTCTTTCGCCTAATCGATTCTGGAACTGATTTACTCAGCTGGGTTTTGAGACTTAGGAGAATCATTCGTTTGAGAACATGCACTTCTTCCCACAAATCTTTAAACAGCGCTCTTGTATCTGAATTTTCTTAAACCTTCGATTTGGTCACATTCTTTTATTCCGCGGAAGCCAGGCTAAAGGACGCAAGTGAATCAATTAGAAAATTCAAAGCGTTTACGAAGTTTTCACGACTGAAGACCTCCTGTATGACACGTACACCGTCGCACAAATTTTTCCATCTGAACATTCTGCTCGCTTTTCTTTTAAAAAGCTATCCTAAGTAACAATCCGAATTTTTTATTTTTAAAACGATTTAGCATAATTTTGCTCCATAACATGCGTTGTAGTCGAAATAATAGGCTTGTTAGGGTTTTCGGAGGGTTTCATCCGCACAAGTGACTAAAAAAAGACCATAATTGGCTTTGGTACAACGCCTTTGAGGCAGATACTCATTTTCTGTTGTTAATTTGTGCTGTTAAATTTCTTATTGAAGACAATTCTGCTGGGTGAGTGGGAACTTCTTTTTCGAAAATATCTCATTCTTTCAATGTCTTATAGACGTTGGCCAGGAGCTTTGAAAAGACAGAGGAATGCTTCCTTTCGGAGAATGATAGAATGCATTCTTCATAAAACTTGTAGAAGCGGATTTGTAGAAGTTCTTCTTTTTTCGTGAGACGATCCAACCATATCATTCAAACAAGTTAAGGTGCTTATTCAAAGTTGATCATAACTTATAGCCATCACTCCATATTCATTCAAACTCTAGTTCGTTTTTATGCAGGGTGAGATGTGGCAAGTATCGGTATAATTATGGCACTTAAATATCATTCAAGTTATCTCGTCTTTATTGTTCCGACCATTGAAAATGGGGAGGAACTTTGTATTCGGGTGTGTTTTAGTTTTTCACGCAAAATCAGGTACCACAAATAATCATTGGACTAGGTTGAGTGATATATCATATCAAAGCCCTTTTAGTCGCAATTCAAAACTCATTAAAAAAAAACCCAGAATTTTTTCTGAAAAAAGTCGAGAAAAGCTGGTTTGATTTTTTTTTGAGATTTAGTCTAAATTCGAGCAAATAATGCAAGCGAGCATGCTAAAATAGTTTATTTTGCTAAATTTGGATCGTGAAAATTTAGTTTGTCATAAGTAAAGTTGTTTTTGGAGTTTTTATAGCGCCATTTGGAAATTATCAAAAACTTCAAAAATTTCCGCAAAAATATTTGAAATTTTTTGATATATTTTTTTGCTTTCTTAGTAATCTTTCGTCACTTTTTGCCTTTTTCACTATGACTGCCGAATATTTCTAATTTCCAGTTTTTCGTTCAGATTTTTTATCACAGCACTGAATGTTCCGACCATAGTAAAACAAATACAATATTTTTCGAATCAGTGTCGTTTTTTTCTGCGTGGTGTTGTGATAAAAAGATCTGAACGAAAAACTCAAACTTAGGAATATTCGGCAGTCATAGTAAAAAAGACGAAAAATTAAAAATTACTAAGAAAGCAAAAAAATATATCAAAAAGTTTCAAATGGCGAAAAGTGAAGTTTGGCGCCAGTGAATCACTTTTATTTCACTTGACAAAAGTTTAATTTTGAGCAGTCTTCATTGTAAGAGAAGTGAACTAAATTATTCGGAACCAAAACTTACAAAACCAATTTTTCAAAACTACATGCACGAAAGTGAAGAATTGTCAAATTTGTTTTGACGCAATTAAGAAAAAGAAACAAAAATAAACAAGAGTAACAGGTTACTGTGCAAATAGCACTGAATGTTCCGACCATAGTGAAAAAAAATACAATATTTTTCGAATCAGTCGTTTTTTTCTGCGTGGTGTTATTTGCACAGTAACCGCCTATCCTTGTTCATTTTCGTTTTTCTTTCTTAGCTGCGTCAAAACAAATTTGACAATTCTTCACTTTCGCGCATGTAGTTTTGGAAAAATGGAATACAAAATTTTGGTTCCGAATCATTTAGTTCACTTCTCTTAAAATGAAGACTCCTAGAAATTAAACTTTTGAAATACAAGAGATTCACTAGCGGCAAACTCGCTCCGGGGTAAGTTTTCTTTTGATTTGTTCCTAAGCAATCTGTTTCTTTTACTTTTCTTGTCAATTTTTTATCAATCTCATCATTAGATTTGACTTCATTTATGATAATAACAGTTCTTATTTTATGTTCTCTTCTTTAAAAATTAGCTATCATTTCAGGTTCAAAACAACTACTGTTTTTCTCGACCATTAGCATCTAATTGGAATATTCGATATCAATAGTTAAAGTTGACTTCATCGGCACTGATGTTTGCTCTGTTGCAGCGAATGATCGTCTCCAGTCACAAGCTCCGCTACAGAAACTCACACTAATTTCTCCACTGGTGCCTTTCAGTTTTGTATACTCTAGATGAACCCAATCTTCGAAGTGGCATCAAACTATTCAATGGGAGTCCCGCGGTTTTTCAACACTAGTCATGATAAGCATCATTGGCTGTTGTTATTGTTGTAGCACCGTGGTATCTTGACGATAATAGGAAGGAAAAGAATTTATTTCTCCATTTAGTTGATAATACAAGCATCAATTTATTGAAATTGTTAAATCAACAAAATGGAGGGGATAGACAAAAGGCGCAGTATGTGCCTACTTGACGTCTACCCGTTGAACAAAGTTAGGATTGCAACTAAGTAAAAAAGATAAATTTATATTCGAATAAAAATAGGATTGTGGGGAAAAATTTATTTTTCCCTAAAATTAAGCCCTCATTAAGGAATAGTTATTACATCTAGTCCTGTCATTTCGGCCCATTCTCACTCCAGCTGACGAACTAAGAATATGAGAAATAATACGAAAAAAAAAGAAAAAATTCTAAGTTTTTTCATTTCTTTTAAAAACTTTCTAAAAAATGCGATTTCTCGAAAACTACAAGGATTTGGAGGGTCATATTTTCAGCATAGAATCGCAACCCTAGAATAGTTGTTTGATAGCATTTAGCCAATGGGTACCATTTAAAAAAATTCAAAGAAATATGTTTTGCACCAACTCGTAATTGCAACAAATGAAATTATCTTTAAATTTATGGACGAAACTGTTTTCTTCATTTTTTGACATCAATCCAAAATTTTCAGGTAAGAGCTTATTTATACTCATAATATTCAATAACATTGCACCCCTATTAGTCAAAGAACATGATTTTACCTTATTCTTACAGAATGGTGGAACAAATGTTCGACCTTCTGAAATTCGCGTATTATAGGCAAAATTTTTAAAAGTAAACAAAGAATTGAGAAAACAAGCTGGATGTTTTTGATTTAGTGATCGTAAACAAAACTTCATCAAATCGTACACATATAGCTCATGAACTGTTAGTATTTTGTTATCAGAAAAGAATTTAGTAATGGTATCAAATTTCCTTTTGAAGCAGATCATGCGAACAATTTTTCGTTGCATATTCAAAATTGGGTTTTAATAAAAACTCGTGCCGCCGTAGACGAGCAAGCCATATTGTATTATTGGCTTGATATTCGACATAGTATTTCAGTAGGATGGATCTTGGTACATAATGTCTCATTTTTGATATTACACCAGAGTGACGACCTAGTTTTGATTGAACATTCTGTATATGGTGAAACAATTTAAGCTTATCATCTACAATGACACCTAGGTATTTGCAAAAAAAGTTTCGGCTGAAAAGTAAAATCAAGTATATCAAAAGAAAGATTGGACGCACTTCTATCCTTAGTAAAATTAACTAAAGTAGTTTTATCTGAGTTTAAGGTTAATTTATTTGAACAAAGCCAGGAAGAAATGTTGGTCAAATCTAACTGGTATTCTTCATAGATAGATGTTTGATATGATATGTTTGTATCATCTGCAAATAGAAACACATTTGAATTGCAAACTGCGTGCTGTATGTCGTTAATATAAACAAGAAACAAGAGAGGGCCTAAAACAGAGCCTTGAGGTATTCCAGTGTTTACTTGCAACCAATCAGATGAACAGTTGTTTACATGTACACATTGATAACTATTGGATAGATAGCTTTCGAACCATTTGCAGCAATTTCCACGTACTCCATAGCATTCTAACTACCTCAAAAGAATTTTATGGTCCAGCGTATCAAATGCCTTTTTTAAATCAATGAAGAAGCTATATTTAATGTTTTTATCAACACCTAGTCTTAATCTTTCAGTCAATTCAGCTAATTCATCAACTGTGGCAAACTTCTCCCTGAACCGAAACTGACGATGATACAGTAATTCAAACTTTTCAAGATAGTTGTAAAATCGAGAGTGCATGATTTTTTCAATAACATTGCTGCAGCTACTTAAAAGTGATATTGGACGGTAATTGCTCATAATTATTCTGATATCAGCTTTATGAAGAGGTACAAGCGGAGCATACTTGAGGCTTTGAGGAAACAAACCGGAGCAAAATGAGAGATTAGTTAAGTATGTTAAATAAGGTGCTAACACATACCTGCTTTTAACTAAAAAAAAGGTTACTAATTTCGGCGATGCCACAAGTATGCTTGGGCTTCAGACGCTCTATCACATCAATTATCTCACAAACTGTACTATTAAAGAGATCCATAGATTGGCTTACGTCTTCTATTTTAATCACTGGCCCCACGTTTTCTATTTTGCTTGCTAACTTGGTTCCTACCGAAGCGAAATAATCATTAAAAGCGTTAGATATTAGAACGGGATCAGATAATTTATTGTTATTGAGTAAGAGAGCTGCAATTTTTGATGATTTTGCGGTTTTGCCATTTATTTCATTTAAAACTTTAAATACTTGTCTCGAGTCTCCAATACATTTATTAAATTTTTGATAGTAATGATCTTTTTTCGCGATTCTTAAAAGTTTTTCGACTTTTTGACGTTGGTTAAGAAAGTTAACTTTTTTAAAGAGAATTCAATTTGTCTGACTTCCACAATTTGTACAAGCGATTTCTTTTAAAAAACGAATTGTTCAAGCCTTTAGCGAACCAAGGAGCATTAGTTTTGCTTTTGTGTATCATAATACGTAATGGTGCAAAAAGGTTTAGGGATTTCATTAAGAGGTGATTGAACTTTTTGCACGCAAGGTCTATGTTATTATCGCTGATCAGGTTTGCATCTTCTAAGTTTTGTTTCAAACTTAACAAAAAATTCTTCATTTTATTTTCTTTTGTTAAGCATGACATATCACGATATGAATAACTTGATAAATCACCTTTTACGCCAAAATTAGATTTCAATATTATGGGATAATGATCAGAAAAGCATTCATTATCTAATACTTCAATGGTTGGATTTTCTAAATTCCTGATTATAAAATGGTCTATACAAGTTTCAGATGTGTCACTAATTCGAGTTGCAGATTTACTCAAAAGCTCGAACCCATTTGCTGTTATTGTGATCAGATATGATTGCTGTAGCTTATTTTTCTGCAGTGTATCGATGTTGATATCTCCCGTTAGAATTATCGGTACTTTATACTGAGCAAGACGCTCTAGATCCTTATCGAGCTCATCGACAAATTTACTTTTATCATATCGTGGGGGTACATATGCCAACACAACTATAAATTGTTTACCACTAACTTCAACAAGGATTGATAAGGATTCTGGAATGCCACTCTCAAACTGTTCTAATAAGTTAACCTTATCGCCTAGCTGTATCATAGTTACCCCACCTCTAGTTTTTCTGGTATTAGTTATGATGGTATGGAAACCTGTGATTTTAAACAAGTTAACATCTTCAATTTCATTAAGCCACGTTTCTGTAAGACATAGTAAATTTATCGGAGACTCGAGACTACTTCGGAGTGCTTCCACATCTTCATGGTGTTTTTTAATGATCGTGCATTAGAAAGTAAAAAGTTAACAGTAGCATCAATAATTTTATGGCTAATTGGTTCCTGTACTTTATCCATTTTACGATCCCATTTGTCCGGCTGAGTTCCGGAAAACACCATTGAAACAGTTTCTAACAACATTTCGTCTGCTTTCCAAATGAAAAAAATAGTTCCTTCGCGAGTCCAAGTGGATTTAATTCTCTCATCCGACTTCAGGATAATAGGTTCGTGCTTGTTTCGTCTCGTTCTTAGACCAAACAATTTAAGCCAGACCTTCCCAAAGAATTTAAACCAGAAAGCAAAAAAACAATCAGCTGTTGACAAAGATACACAAAAAATATACAAACTAACACCATAGCGAGAACACGACAAAAAGCAGCTGTATAAAGTGCAATACGAAAAAGTAGAAATATACCACGAATTAGTAAAAAATCGGCTAGGTCTCGGAATCGATCTGCGACCTAGAGATTGTAAGTCCTGCACTTAACACTCAGCCACTGATGCTCGCTCAATAAATTGATGATCATTTTTGTTTGCGAGTTAGGTGAGAAAAAAAAGAAGGTTCGTACTAATACAGTTGGCTTGCAAGCTCGTTGTGTATAATCATATATCAATAAAATAAACGAAAAAAATATATATTGCGAAAAAAAGCTGACATAATTAAAGCCAAACGGCCTCCACCGCCGAAATTAACAAAAAAAACTTGCAACAAAAAAAATTTGCACCAAAACTATTTTACAAGAGCTCTTAATTTTCTCTCAAACGATATATGCAACCCATATACTGACCATGGTATTACTTCATTAGAGGACATTGAACAGTTGATATTGAGTACTTTTTGACTATTCTGTGAACAATGTTATTTATGTGAAAAACGTCTAGTACCCGGTTACAATACCCTTGCCCAATCTAAAATTTAGAAAAAGTCACTTAGATTTCCCTGGACTCGTTGCCGACGTTGTCTCAAGCTATATATTTTTTAAATGCGTTAAGAATCAGGAGCAAAAAAAACTTGAAATGATTATTCAAGTTTTTTCTATTAAGGAGGGTTTGCGATATTAAGTTTCAATTTGCCAAAAATTTCTTCAATAATTCTAAAAACACAACTTGATGTACGAAGAAACAAATCAAATTAGTGAAATAAGCACAGATTAAAGCAGACAAACAATTAACTAATATTCTAGCAACAACATTTAGACACAAGCGGAGCTTCGAAGCGGATATTCGCACCACTTGCGATACAATATAAAATAGCAGTACAAGCTAGCAGACAGGAAAAGAAAACCAATTAGTCTGAAAAGATAGATAAAATTTCAGAAAACAACTAAAAAAATTCAAAATATTGCATGGAATCATGTTCTCTTTGCGGCAATCACATCCAGAAACAGTCGACGGCAATTAGTGAAAATTCAAAAGAGAAATAAAAAGCGGCAACTGAGCCGACGAAACTTAATTCATTTCCCGTGTCATGAAAAAACTTTGAACTTTTATTCTAAGAGTTTTAACGTTTTGTGCGATCTAAAGTGAAGCGTAAAACGTATGCTTACCTTAAATTGACCCCAAATCAGGCCACTAAGCCGAAAAAAACCGAAATTATTTAAGCCAAATATAGTTTTCAGGCGAAAAAAAACAGCAAAAGCAAGCATGAAAGAAAAAAAAACAAACAGACAAACTATAGGCCGACATTTTTGGGAAAGGAATATTTCCAGCTGAAAAAAAGGTTTTGGTTCCTGGTCAGATTCCAAAACCACGACTTTTGCTAGCGCAGGCGTATTCTTCGCCTAGAGGCTAAGTGCCGGACACATAATCAACCAAGATACAAAAGTTTTCAGTGATTCTGTTAAACAAGTTGTTAACCTGAAAAAAAGGTCTATATTCCTTTGATAACGCCTGCTAATAGCAAGCGTAATAACAAATTGAAAACAATGTGCGTATGCTATAAAAAAAATAAAGTGCATACTGAGCTTAATCGCAAGCGTAATAACAAACACCAGCATGTTTTATCAGTATGCAATATTTAGGTTTCTAGAAACGAGAACAATCCCATCAAACAACTCGTATATAATTATAACAAGCTTTCAAAAACTCTCAAGTGTTAGCATTTGTTCAATAAATGGTTCACTTAGATGACTTCTACGAGCGTTAACATAAGATTTCCTTCATAGAAAAAAAGTAGATAATTAGCTTCGCGCCCCTACCAACACTTTTAATTAACTGAAGAAACGTACACTTGGTAATTGCAGCAGTCAATGTCGTTTTACCATGGTCCACGTGTCCAATCGTACCAACGTTCAGATGTTCTTTGGTGCGTTTAAAAGAAGCTTTACCAGCCGCTGAAACACTAAGTTTGAATACCACATATTTAATGTTAGCAGAGAGATTTCTTAACAATTTTCATTACGTTTTGATGCAGCCACAGCCATGCATCGCGTTGGTATTGCACAATAACCGCAAAACTGAACCAGTCCTCCAGGGTTCAGACCTACATTAAAAACACAAGAGGATACGATAAATAAAAAAAGAACTTGAAATAAAAGTCATCTTAGGTTTCGTCTTCGATAACCAACACACGTAATATAATCAATACCATACTCACGTCGCATCATCAAAGCCATCCTTAATGACGAATTCAAAATTATCTTAAAAGGAAACAGAGTTATGTTCATTGAACCAAAACATAGCCTTATTGTTGTGAACTTATTAAATACATTTGATATAAAAAAAACTTTAATTTCCAAACGAAGATATTTCTGTTTAAGCAAGTGTAAGTCAAATATTAAATGAATTATAAGAAAATTAAGATGTTTATTAAAACGTTTTCCCACATTTGGTGCATCAACGGGTTTTGTGCTTTTCCCGGGAAGGCACAGTCGAACCCTCCGAATTACGCTGAAGGCGGCACAAGGAGCTGTGCCATTCGACCAGAAAGCCGGAAAAAATGCATTTTATTTATTTGAATTCGATCGTAAGAAAAAGCGATTTTGACGATTAACAGTCTTATTTATCAAAATAAACGAACTGGGAAGGGTCAGTTTGGACTGACATGATTATTTTTAAATTTTCGATTTGAGCAGATCAAAAATAAACGTACGACAGATTAAGAAGATGCTCGAAATTTCAGTCATGAGTATTCGAAGAGGAGCGCTCCGAGTTGTACCGATTGTACAGCTACAATCGTTACAGAGCAATTCTCGCGAACCAGTAGAGCTGACGGGAAAATTTGCTACCCTTCCTGATTGTGAAGAAGCCGCTTCTTCACGCGGATCCAGGAAGTCGGAACAGTACCGTTGAGTAATTCTTAACTGTTTTTAAACAACTTATAGCTTCCCGGAATGGCCTGAATTGAATTTGAATTCACATCGAACTCATCTACCGATAAGAAGCTAGGAATTGAGGGAAAAGGTCGCTAAAAGTGATTGTATATACTGAACAAAAACAATAGTAATTAAAACTTTGACAAGGCAATGAAGATTAATAAAGAACAATGGGTGGATAATCAATACCCTGAAAAATGGTCAGATGGTGTTGTATTAAGAACGTTGAATAAGATCATCGACCGAAAAACTGACACACGAACAACAGTAACATCAGTCAAGGAAGATCCTTTAAAGGTCAGTGCACCCATTATAACATTACAATACAGGGGTAATGCATCGGAGTGGTTTGCTGCCAAACTGCGTCAAAACGCCGGAGCCCAAGTGATATTTACTACGAGAAAGCTCTGTGCCAGTCGGTCATATTTGGAAGTTTGACCTTGAGAAGAGCAGAAAACACTTGATTTTGTAGTGAAATTTAATTTTTCAAATTTTCGAATGGAACATGTCATGCACGATTTTCTCGCGATAACTGAAAATCAGAAAAAGAAAAGAGAACAATTTCAGAACAATTGCGGGAAAGTTGTCAGATAAAAACGAGTGTGAAATTGCAATTCGCAATTTCCATCATAGTGAACAAGAGTAGAGCTGTCCTATCTGAAATAGAAGACAGAGTATTCCCGAGAGAACAATTATTCGAACTGGACCAGAGTGAACCTTCGACGGAAAGGTGGACAGCTTGAGTGTCCCAATGGTCCACATAAAACTGCAGTCTAGAGTAAAAACTTGTTCTTGTTGTTAAAACTGATAAACATTGAACTTATCTAGTTACTTTAGTTAATTCTAGAGTTGCTCACCCATTTAATTACTTCCTGTGCTTGAGCGCATCAACATGTGAGTCCTTAATTTAAATTTCTAGAGTGTGTTTTATGATTGTTATGTTGAGGTAAGGCGAGTTTTAGGTTGATCCATCTGAAATGGATCAAAGTTCCACTGTCTAATAAAAAAGCAACTTAACGGATTGTTCCGACCCGGTTTTTAACGGCGTTCATGTATTTTGGGTATCTAGAGACCTGAGTATGGGGACGTTTCTAATTCTAGAGTGGGGGGATATTTTAGTAGTAGCCTTTAAGCTGTAACGGGTCGTAGTCTCATGTCACAAGCGAACCGAATTGGCTCCGACTGATTTGAGGCGGAAAAACACAAGAGATAGTGTCCCTGACTCCTGAGCCAATAGTTATAGGGCCTATTTTTCTTAAGCCTCATGTGTGACTGTAGTAGACGAATGTTACATAGTGTTTTTATGGCGCTCCTGGGTGTTTACGACATCAAGACTACGGAGTCGAACCCACTTGAGACAGCTTCGGGCTGAATGCCCATTCTAGAGTACCGGCGGTACGGTTCGACAGGAACGTGCAAACCTTCCGGTTGTACCGTGATAGCTTTTTAAGAAAACTCGAGAAAATTTCCTGGTACGCTCTCCGAACGAGGCTTAGCTAACCGAGTAAAGGGGGGCAACTAGGGGGACAAAAACACGAGCAAAAAGACAAAAAGCAAAACAAAAACCAAAAAAGAATAGAAAAAGGAACAAAAACCATAAAACGAAAAAAGACAGTGACTTTGACACCAGATTAGTTGGATCAAACCTTTATATTAATTAAATAGTATACCCATACTGTTTTACAAGTTCGATCGTTTCGATCAACCTAGCAATTTAAACCAGTAAACTGAATAAAGTGCCCGAAGTGGGGCGTTGTCAAGGGTTTTCAGATAGCTTGGAACTTAGCTGGACCAATAGGAGACTTGACTGGAAGAGGTGACCAGCCGAGTGGGAAAGTGGTTCAGGGACACTTGAGCTGAACCAATAGGAGACTTGACTGGAAGAGGTGACCAGCCGAGTGGGAAAGTGGTTCAGGGACACTTGGCTGAACCAAAAGGAGACTGGACTGGAACAGGTGACCAGTCGAGTGGGAAAGCAGCCAAGAAGGATTTGGCAATTCTCGAGTTCTCAAGTTGGGCAGAACGGGTATCGTTAGAATCCACATTACATTATAGGAGATAAGTGTAAAATTGGATAAGCGAAATCCCCCAGTTTTGAGGAACGTTTTTACTTGAGCAGGCCTGGAAACAGGTCTACGGTTTTCTCTTGAGAGGTTTAGCACCCGGCGCTTAAAGTAATTTTTAGGCTTAAGAAGGGGGGCTAGAAAGGGGGGAGGTTAGAAGGGGGACTGGTTAAGTTAGAGGTTGGCGGTTGTAAATTGTAAAAAGGGGGAAATTAGAGTAACTAATTAGTCGACATCGTTGACTTAGTTACATTAGAAATTAACACGCGTTGGTAATATTAGGTGGAGATCCAAAATTCAACTCGAGTTAAGACTGGTACGCTGGTTGGTTTGGTAGGGGGGACCGGATATAGACAGCTTTTGTGATACCCCATAAGATCACTAGTGGGGGGAGGAAAACGCGTGGCAATTAGGTACCAGACATTTTTTTTAGACGAAAGGTAGACATTGGTCACCTTTGAATTTCAGGTGGGCTCATTTTTCTGTTTTTATTATTTTTCTTACTTAGATTTTTGTTGCATTTTAGTGAGGATTTGTGTTTGGTTTTATACGAACAGGTGATCACAAGATACCTGCGCACCTACATTGAAATAGAAACAACCAAAAAGAAGAGGGGGGTCAGCATTTGGCTTTTAAGAGAGGGTTTTTGGGAAAATTTTACTAGAGCTTGAGTGGTGGTACAAGGTACGGTGATACAAGAAGTCCCTACAACGAGGAAGACACTCCGTGACGAGTCTTGGGACAGTACCGAAGAAGTCTTGGGACAGAGCAGTCTTGGGACAGTGGTCTTGGGACAGGGTCTTGGGACAGTGGTCTTGGGACAGGTTCTTGGGACAGTGGTCTTGGGACAGTGGTCTTGGGACAGGGTCTTGGGACAGTGGTCTTGGGACAGGGTCTTGGGACAGTGGTCTTGGGACAAGGGTCTTGGGACAGGGTCTTGGGACAGGGTCTTGGGACAGTGGTCTTGGGACAGGGTCTTGGGACAGGGGTCTTGGGACAGGGTCTTGGGACAGTGGTCTTGGGACAGGGTCTTGGGACAGTGGTCTTGGGACAGTGGTCTTGGGACAGTGGTCTTGGGACACTAGTCTTGGGACACTAGCCTTGGGACACTGGTCTTGGGACAGTAGTCTTGGGACACTAGCCTTGGGACAGTAGTCTTGGGACACCAGCCTTGGGACACTGGTCTTGGGACACTACCTTTGGGACACTAGTCTTGGGACAGTAGTCTTGGGACACTAGCCTTGGGACACTAGTCTTGGGACACTAGCCTTGGGACACTGGTCTTGGGACACTACCCTTGGGACACTAGTCTTGGGACAGTGGTCTTGGGACAGTAATCTTGGGACACTAGCCTTGGGACACTAGTCTTGGGACAGTAGTCTTGGGACACTAGTCTTGGGACAGTAGTCTTGGTACAAGGGTCTTAGGACACTAGCGGAGAGTACTGTGATAGTGACGAATAGTCTTGGGACGGTATAAAAATTGAAGCAGAATCACAACAAGTGTGTCTTAAGACAGAATAAGACAAATCGAAATAGGTACGGTTAAGACCAAATTAAGGAAAGTTGTTCGGAGGTCTTAGAAAGAGAATTGGATAAGGTTTTTAACACGTTTTTTTTTATTTTTTTTACTACTTACTATTAGAATAGAATCGTGTATATAATAAAATTGTAAATAGGAGCAGTTGTAAATAGAAATAATGAGGCGGAGTAGGGTACCGGTGCTCGAAAAAAGGTCAAGTGGATCAAACACGAAATATAATTCATCGCTGCGCGGAACGACATCAACGGGCCCAAAGATAACGAAGACGAACTTTTCAGTTAACATGGTCAGCACAAGGAGTACAGCGGAGAACAGGGCGAAAGAGGGCACGGAAGGGGAGCGAGTAGAACCCACCATCGAGATTGATCTAGAGACACCCGATCAAAGTGTGGATGAAACAAGGAAGATGGCGACAGAGTCAACTCCAATGCCCAATGCAGAGGAACCGAACCAGAAACCCATAGAGTTCTCACCGATAGATGACGCGGAAGATGCAATAGGCAACACCGAAGAAACGGTGAAAGAAGACTCTCAAGTAAAGAGGACATCTTTTACGGAAAAATTGGGAATAATGTTCGGAATAAAAACAAAAGAAAACGTGACTGAAGAACCAAAAGCAGAAAGAGCACGAACATTTGGGACAGTGAGCACGAAGACCTCAGAAGCCAATCCAAGAGAGGAACAAACTAAAGCAGAGGCTACGGCCGAAGAGAGACCGACAG